GGTTGAGAGGGTGGTTTAAAAATTTCCAAAGTCCAGAGCACACCCTTCACCATGATCTGCTGGCGAGAGCTGCAGATCTCAGTGTTTTTCTAAAGTTCCCCAGGTGATTGCAATATGCTGAATACAACTGTTTTAACAGATCACTAAATTTTCATGTATATTGAACTTAAAGGTTGGCTTTTAAAAACATTATTTCTTTTAAAAAAATTTATTTTTTTATTTTATTATTTATTTGAGAGAGAGGGCACAAGCAGGGGGAGAGGCAGAGGGACAAACAGACTCACCACTGAGCACAGAGCTGGATGCGGGACTTGATTCCAGGACCCCGGGATTGTGACCTGAGCCAAAATCAGACACTTAACCGGCTAAGCCACCCAGGTGCCCCTAAAAACATTATTTCTTTCAGAACAATAGAATTTGCTTCTCAGCCATTTGAAATTTGGCTCTCATCACAGGATTAAGTATCTTCCCATGGAATAAGGATATTCAGTTTGGCAGAACTCATACACAGGAAGAACCACAAAGGACTTTATCTTTTCTCTGGGCTCATGGCAATCATTACATGCGAATATGTTTATTTATCAGAATAATAAATGAGTGGTTCTGCGAGCTCCATTTTAGATTCACACACAAGATTCCCAGCATCTTCAAAGAAGAGCCTTTCAAAGACTAAAACCTCAAACTCAATGGCTTTTTATCTTTTTCTGCTCTCTACATATATATGAGTTTTGGCAGGCAGAATTTTCATTGATCAAAATCAAAAGAAACATTTTAAAACAAACAGATTTTAAAAACCCAGATATTTTAAGCAGTATGAAGAGCTGATGATTGGGGCCCTTTCTTAGAAAAAAGATGGCAATAAAATACTCCTAGAATTCTTTTGCCATCCAAGAATCATATTTGTTGTTAAAGCCAGTAGTTTTTCATTGTTAGGTACTGGGGAATCTGAGCTTTCTCTCCACCATGGGAGTATTCCCCTAAGTAAACAGAGCTCAGCCTGTAGTCAGACACCAACTAAATAAAGAGCCATCTTTTAATAGCTGAAGCCAGTGATGCTGAACAGCCCCAGTGGACAGAGATAAGCTGAGAAAGAAAATTGGTTGATTTCAAGAAAGACATGGAATCACCCTCTGGGCTGACCCAAGTTGTTTCAGATGATGAGTGGCTATGGAGGTGACAAACTTTATTGGCTGGAAAGAAATATAGAGAAAATAAATATGCTTTGTTTGCTTCTTAGTGAAAAAAAATGTGCATAGTGAATTTCCTCCCTAAGATTGGGGTGCGTAGCCTGCTGACAGTTTCCTAAATAGATCATCTATAGAGAAGTAAAGACTATAGAGCCGTCTTAAGCCACACGTCTAAGTAATTCTAAATAGAGAGCCCAAGAAATATAGACACGAAAGGAAAAGATCCTTTTCTTACACTTTTTTATCAGTTTCTTCTTAGTGCCTACTTATCTCCCTCATACTAACCCATAATCCTTTACTGGTTTTAGTCTCCTTGCATATCTGACCATCCTGGACAGGGTCTGCTCTGCTCAAGAATAGTCTCAGTATTAGGCATTATCACTTGGTAGGGAACTAAGGGCATCACATGTGAACAGTTTAACTTGTTTTTATTTAAGCACTTTGAAATTCCACACGACTCTATGATACTGGTACCAAGCCGACTTTGTATTTGACCGGGCAATAGTGATACATGAAATTTGCTTGCAAAGTCGAAGATGGTATCTTTCATCTCTGTCAGAACTTAAGCACTTAAAGATTATTTAATTTCATATTTACTCTTGTACTTTCTTCTCCAGGGTTGTTCGTTGTATTCCAAATAAGTATGGGAGAAATTTTAAAGTGTACTTTTCTGTTTGAATGTCAATGACTCAAACTGTTCTGGGTGTGTTTGCATCCAAGTCATTGTACCAGCTATAGACTCATGTGCCCAAGAAGTGATTTCTATATGGCAGCGATCTCCAGAAAGTATTCTCCATGTTGAAAATTCAGGGAAGGTATATTCCTTGTTATTGGGGTATAGGACTTTACTATGAAAATAAGAATCTTTCTTTTAATTCAATGCTAATAATCGAAGTCATAAAGCATGTCAAACATACTAATTTAATTAACAACGCCACAGATTTCTGGGATTGCTAACCTGGTGAGCAAAATAAATGAAGATTTGAATCATATAAAAAGGAAAAAAGCCAATAGATTTTGGGATATACTATGGCTGATTTAGCATTACCATCGATATGCACTTTTCCCCCCCTTAACTATGCAAAAATAATAGGAAATGGAAATTTTGTTATGTTGTTTACAATCTGAACTGAAATGTATCAAAACAAGGATGGGTTAGATGTCTTTTTTTGAAATAATGTATTTATAGAGTTTGACCAAAGATTAACAGCTAAGATTCTACAACTCAGACGAATCAAAAGATACTGTGGTAACACAAAATTGACTTTTAATGTTTGTTTACCAGTTCATTGTATCTTACAGAAAATGAAAACATTTTTTTTTTTTTTTTTTGGTAATACAGATTGGTTCTTCTCCTCAGATCTGTACTCAGTAGGTATTAAATGCCTTTAAATACTGGTTTTTCTTTTAATCAGGTGGTTTAATGACTTCTGAATTTTTCATTCCTTTTGTTGTACGTCATAGCTGCTCTGGCAGTAGTGAGCTCTGTTACAGTTCACTTCTCAGCAAAACTCTGTCAGTTATCCATTGATCCTTCTTGATGCATTCTCTGCTGAGAACCGATAGGCAATTCCCTTCCACTCCTCCCCTCCTCAGTGGTCAGCTACTCCGTGGGACCACCGTATTCTTTGGAGCACTGAAATCAAGAAACCCAGTATGGCTGCCAGCAACCAAATTGGAATCTCCTTTGAGTCTACTTCTAATTGCCAAAATAATAAGCAACGATATTATTGCATAAAATAAAGCTTAAACAGGTACCGGCCCCCTTTCTATGACAGAAGGTTTAAATTTACAAATACCATATTTGACTAAAAATTACTGTGACAAAATATGGCAGCAGTCATTTAAAGATGGTTTCCAGTGTTAATATGACTTACTTTCAGTCCTATTCCTTCTTTCCATGTGAATCATTTCTTTTTGTTGGTGTTCTCAAATGCAGGTGTCTCAGTGAAATTTGCAAGTCAGCTTTGTTCCTTATATGGGCCACAATTGTTAATTATGGACAAAATGGTTAAAACAAGATTTCCTAACCCAGACTCCCACCTCATCCCTCTGATACTCTTGGAACCCAAGTCTGAGGAGTAATTTCTGAATTTGCCAGTGCTGCACTGAGTTTCTTTTAGGAACTGTATGTATTAGGATAGCTTTTCTTTTTTTAGAAATCCTCAGTGAGATATCTTGGGGAATGACGTAGGAAAATAGACATTGATGGAAAAATGGTAAAATAAGAACATTAAAAAAACCCTTATTCAGGTAGGAGTCCAAAGGGGTAAGGGATTCTGATCCTTTGGGGGAAGTCAGAAGATAAAAATTCTGCCCAGCAGTATTCATTCTGTTAAGATTTTTTTTTTTTACAAGCATGGAAAAATGGTGTGCAATCAGTATAGATTTTAATTAGCAAACAGTCACTCCAGGGATTTTGAACAGCACCAATTCCAATACTAGTAAGTATTCAAAAGTTAAGAAATGCTACTATGCTTAATATTATAAAGGTAGAGTTCTGCAGCAATCACTGAAAATTACATATCTGCTTCAATAGAAATGTGTTCCCACTTGCATTTCCGATAAAATTCTTGTGATGTGGGTCCTAATCTTTCAAGTATGGGCTCCCTCCAATATGCTAACCCCCATGTTTGAGGTGTTAAAGTTGGTATTTTGGAGATAGTCCCCTCTTTAAATCATGTATCCATCTTATCCTAGACCATTCAGGTATTTTTAATTTAGAAGTTTGAGTTCTAGTCGTATCAGCAGTGTTTGAGTTAAACTTTACAATCTCTTTGGATTTATATTTTTGTACAATTTGCATATCCAACCTAATGTAAAAACGTGCATGCATACATTGTCCTCTTTTAATAATAAAGCATCTGAAATTTCCCAGATATGCTTCGATAAAAGAAATGACCTACTTTTATTTACAATATTTTCCCTAGATAATGTATGGATATAATTATGGTTTCATGGGCTTCCAATTGTTCTTATACCTTCCACACATGTAACTCTATATCTATAGAGTAAATTTATTAGAATTATTACAGAGCTTTAAATGCAACCACAATCAATTCAGGAAACAGATTTATTTACTCGTGTTCATGGGAGGAAAATCTACATAAAAACATTCATGAAAGCATACCAGCTATGTCATACTTGGATTATTATACTAAATCCCATTTATTAGAACTCATTGTAAAACAATGGGAAACCATGAAATGTAATTTGAATACAAATAATGGTCCCTGCAGGGTCTCAACAGTCATAAAAATATAGGAAAACAGAACTTTCTTTAATATTGGAGCTGCTAATGTCTAAAGTTGTTCTTCTGAAGCTGGCCTTACCCTTTCATTTAAAGCCCTGAAGATTTTAGTGTAAACTCTTTGATGGGAGCTTCTGCGTTTCATTTTAGCCTAATGATGACCAGCAAGGAAAGTGACATCATTGACCGCATTTTCTATATGGAGGAAGGTTTAGAACGACTTTGTTCACTCGTTTGCCCCCACACAGGCACCAGTTCGGCTTTCTAGTAGATATACAAAGAAGAAGAATGGGAATTTTGAAAGTTGGGTCTGTATTTCTTGGTTAGGCAAGTGTATAGTTATTCATTCCTTTTGTGATTTAAATTTTTTTCATGTAAGGTAAATAAGAAGGAAATATTAAATAGTTTATTTTTATAGGACAATATATTTCATAGGTTAACATAAAATCAAGCTGCTAAATTTTACAATTTTTCTGTCCAGCAGTTTATCTATATAACTGCCCTGAGTAGATGCTAATGCTGCTTAGCAGACGGCCCTTAGAATTTAAATATAACTCAGTAAAGCTACTCAAAAGATTTAACGATTCTTCTCAGGTATGTGTCATTTCAATTAAAAGAAGATAGGAGTCTCTCATTGGTTAAATATTATCTGCGTATTTACGTTTCATACTTCATATAAATGGGGTTATTAAAGAGTTTTAACTGTGCTTGTTACTATGCATTGGAGTCCATATGAATTTTTTTTATTTTTTGGTCAAAAAGGCAGGATTTTAAAGACTAAAACGTTCTGTTTATTGGAGTCTTGAAATAATACCTTTTAGAAAAGTGTAGATTGTTCCCTTGTGAAACTGAGTTTCGTGCAACCTCTCAGAATCTCAGTTTATGTAAAGAAGACTGTATTTCAAATCCGTTGCTCTAATCTGTAGATTGTAGTGCATTTCAAAATTGTACAAATGTGTAAAATTTGTGCTTGTGGAAACTGCTGCTCTGAGTAGCTGTACTTTCCTTAATTTAATCCTCGCAACCCTTAAGCTATTGCATGCCCCGTTCATGAAAGGATACTTCACTGGGAATGATGTAGCCTAAACAATTGTCTCTAAAGCCTCCTTATCTAGCGCTTCCCTTAAAATTATATTAATTTATAATATATATTGAATGATAGCTTTACAAAAACAAATTCATGAATTGGTCTTTATGAAAATGACTCTTTCCAGTAAGTAAAAAAGGGTTATCACAGTTTTGGTAACTTGCATGAGTTCGTGTTGAAAAAAAAACAAAAAACAAAAACACAAAAAACCTTTCACATGTTCTTAATGACTTTAAAACTGATGTGCTCTAGGGGCACACTCAGTTGTATGCTCTGAAGCAGTAGACACCGTACAGCTTATGCTTTTTATCTGGGAACCCCACGAAGCGCACGGCAGCCTCGGTGGGACTGCAGCGTCTCCTCGGCCTCGAGATGGGGTAGCGGACGCTGCCATCCGCCAGCCAGCCCGCATCGCAGCGGTCATATCCCAGAAGTTTCCAGGCAGCGAAGATCTGGCCCACTTTTGCGATCTGAGCACCATCGTTGAGACAAGCCTGCACCGCTTCGTCGTAGGTCAGCTTGGTGGGGTGGATCAGGTAGTAAAACCGGCCTGTGGAGAGAAGCAGAGAGAGTCAGGGGGCCTGTCTGCCCCTGAGCCGCCCAGATATGGAAGGAGCCCAAACGGAAGTGTTTCTCAGGGAAGGGGGAGATGCAGTGTCTGTCAAGTTCGGGGAACATAGGGTTGTCAGTTAAACGTAGCGCCCCTCGGACATTCTCCCATTAAATTAGTTTTTTCCTTGCCCCTTAATATGTGTTCAGACATGCCCTTTTATAGCTTTGAAACCGAGAAGGGAAATGACAGATGCGGTTTCTGTTAGCTAATTAGTGACTAAAAGGGCCCTTCTGTAGTACCAGAGAAGACAGAATTCCATGTTAAAAGCAAGAGCTATTTAAATTCTAGCTGTAGCAAGACTGAACCCCAGCACAAGTTTCTGGAGAGGCAAAATTTGAATGTGAAAAGATCAAAAAACATTCCTGACATAAAAGTCCATTTAAAAAAAATCAAAAGCCCTCAAGTCCTTTTCATTACAGGTATCAATAAGACATTATTCTGATTCAAAGACTACAGTATGAAAATGCAAAAAATACAGGAAGTCACTTGCCATAAGTAATGCAGACTCAGAATGTGAACCCAGTCTGTTCAGTTACTAGCAAAGAGGATGAATTTATTTATTCAGCGGGAGCCCTGATGCCTAACCATTTCTTGATTGCCCAAGAAAGAGCGAATTAGTCTTAACCACGCATTGGATAAAGTTAATTACTGAACTACCTTCAATGTATATTAAAGATGCATACACTGTATAAAGTATGGCATCAACTGGCTGAAGTGCTACACTGAAGATTTTCTCAGACTTTGAGTCTCAGGTAGACTATAATCAGAATCTCTTACCTGATTACACATTGTAATGGGATGTCTCCTCGCCCTCCATTACATATAGATTACTGAAGTATAAATTAATGCTGGCCAGTTCTTTCTGGCAAGACTAAGACAATGTGATTTGGAGGATCGGTAGAGGCCACTGGAACATGAGTTAGAAGTTTGGCTCTATCATCCATACCAGAGGTCCGCAAACTACAGCACAGGAGTCACCAGAAGTTTTGTTAAAACACAGCCGTACCCATCCGTTTAATACAGTCTGTGGCCGTTTTGCATTTTACAACATACAGAGCTACATTGAGTAGTTACGACAGAGACCGCGTGGCCCACAAAGCCAAAGATACTTATCCTCTGGCCCTTTACAGAAAGTTGGTTCATCCCTGATCCCTTGCTATTTTTCCCAAAGCATGTCGCCAGGGAACTGAAATAGAAAATGTTGGGGCCGGGGTTTCCTTTATGGGCGTGTGACCTGGGCAGTTACACAGGGCCCCACGTGTGTTGAAGGTGCTGCTGTTACCATCTTAAAATTCATAGTTTTTGGACAAGGAACCCATGTTTTCATTCTGCACTGGGCCCCACAAATTGTGTGGCTTGTTCTGGATGGGGCAAGACAGGGTTGGGAGTTACATTGAAGGCAACAGATCAATCATCAACACGGAGGCAACCTGGATCTCTTTTCTTCTGCTTTCATCTCCAGTGTTATTGCTACTTATTTTTGTTTTTTTTGCAAAGTTCTCTTTACTCTGAGCTTTCTCTTTATTGGAGTTTTGCTGATCAACTATGAACATAATCGACTTTGTAATTTAGAGAAGGAGAGCGTGACGTAGAAGCTACTCTCACTTCCATTAAGAGATCTGTATCCCAGGGCACACATCTCTATCACACACAGTGGCAGCATCATCTTTGTCAATAAGAAACAGACCCCATAGAATATCTCAATTTAAACTATTTTATAACTATAATCAGATGCAATAACACCTAGGAATAGTGGAAATACGCACTTTTGCTCATGTGGGTATTTTTAAAACTTACGACATTAAAGAACATTGCATCTTTTCAAACTAAGGGCAATACATCAAAGCCATGTTCTTTTCTTTTTTAAGTAGATAAGATTAAAAACTGAGTGTGGTGTTACAGTACGTATTGGTCCCCAGGACAGGAAAGAAGGCAGTACAGTTAATAGCTTACCATTGAAGTTAGATGTAAAACAGAAAACATCGTATCTGCTTTTGTCTTTATCCCAAAACCCGTAGTTCCTGACACCGGGCACCGTGTTCTGGCCTCCACAAGGCTCTCTGGGCTTTGTGATGGGATACTGCACAGACCCGTCACTGAGCCAGCCGGCGTTGCACCAGTCCAGCCCGCCCCGCCAGGCATTGTACAGCTGGTCGAAGGAAGCAATCACAGCATCCTGGTCCAGACAAGCCTGCTGTGCCTCGTGGAAATTGAGATTGTAGCGCCCCAGTCGTGGAAAGTAAGGGAATACCACACCTGTCCAAAGGAGAGACCGAGGGATTAGTGGTACAGAAAGTACCAACTGTGAGCAAATGTCGCTTGACTGGTGAAAACATAATAGAATCTCCAGCAGATGAAGTTGCGGGTTTTGGTCAACTTGCAGTGGTTTCTCGTGGTCCCTTTCCCCTACAAACAACCTCTCGGCTCTGAGTGTCTCACAGTGAGGTATGCGGTTTGATGACTTCAGTGATTTACCCTTTCGCTGAGAGTTCAATACAAGCCTTAAAATTCTCCTTTCTGGAATGATTCACCCATAGGTTATCTTTTTCAAATAGCCTCCTTGAGAATTTACCTTCTGCTACTTCTGTTAATAACCTTAAAATGGATTACTACTGAGTCCTTTTCAGCTAGGAAAAAGTCAATAATGAATACTAATAGTGGTGGAGGATGTAGAAACAGTGCTCAGAGAGAAGGTATTTATCAGGATTCTCCATGTTTTTTCTTAGTAGTTATTCTTATATAATTACTAATTAGCTTAGGATAGCCTTTCATTTTTTTGTTTTTTTAAAAGACTTTATTTATTTATTTAAAGAGACAGTACCATGGGTGGGAGAGCAAAAGGAGAGGGGGAGAGAGACTCTCAAGCAGACTTCATGGCGCAGAGCATAGTGCACACTCAGGGCTTGATCCCAAGACGCTGAGATCGTGACCTGAGCCAAAATTAAGAGTTGAATGCTTAACCAACTGAGCCACATACGTGCCCCACTTAGGATAGCCTTTTAAATGTATAAACAAATATGGTAAATGATTCAAATGTAGATACAGATTTTCTTTTACACATGCTCCTAAAAGCTTACTTATCTAAGTAACTTTCACTTAGGAGGTTTCTTACTTGGAGAAACTCCAAAGTGAGTTTACATATCTAACAGAAACCTAATTAAGCAGCCTCATTTCATATTAATAAGCCAGTTCTTTACAGTGGGGGCATACCTCACTTCATATTCCATTAAGGGTATCCTGGCTCTGTTATCCATTTCAACTTTTAAGGGTAGCCCTTAATCTTATTTTTTTTCTGTCCTTGAACAGCACAACCAAAATGAGAGCTTTCATTTAAAGATAATTCTTCAGCTTCCATATTCATATGTTGCCAATTGAAACCAGCTTTTAAAAACACTTTTATTACAAAAAAAAAAAAAAAAAAGCCCTTCCCAAAGCTTGTCCTATACAAGGTGGATACAGCATAAACATCAGTTGAGTTAATGCCAAAGAATTAAGTTAACTATTTGGGCAAAAACCCTTAACAAATGTGAACAGTGTGACTTGGCACTTGACTTTGCCTGGGAAGATGCAATGGCTTCCCAAAAGCATTCTTTTTGGTCAAATAATCACTGGAGGTGACTGAGCCACCTCCTGACTTTCTGTGCATTTTCTTGAACCGCTAAGAATTACATCATCAGAAAGCAAACTTGTATCATTCGCTGGACTTTCAGAAGGACCCCTGCATCAAAATGTCTCTCCATAAAAGACAATTCAGAGTGGTTAGTCAAGGCCTTGCCTTGGATTTTTGGTTATAATTAGAAATAATTAATACTTTAGCTTGTGGAATATAAACAGTTGTCCCACTGACACAGTAATTTGGTGGGTTATATCGCAAGTGCTGTTTTATGAGACCGCAGACCCTATTCAAGATGAATGTACAATTCACTCATCGTGTAACCAGGACACAGGAAATGTTTTCTTTTATAAATCGTCCTGGAAGACTCTACAAGAAGAAAGCCTAAATCAAGTCGTGTCCCCCCAAGGCCTCCGCAGGACACGTTAGTCCCTCGGGGGCAGTCCAGCTGGCACGGTTCCATAAGAGGCAGGGATCCAGGAAGGCTTCCTGATCTCACCCTGCCTTCTCAGGTTCTTGGCTGAGGGATCTGTAAGCTGAATCAGCGCCAAAAGGAAGGAGGAAAAAACTCTCTCAGTTGCCACGGCCCCCTGCAGTGATGGGGGTGGAGGGGAGCCTGAGATGGTTCTATCTAAGAAGAGCTATTTCCAGGCATCCAGCTAAGAACCCAGTTAGCGCTGGGGAGGAACTGCTATAGCTCTCCCTGTCCCCTCATGCCTTTCATCCTCTTTCCCCAGAACCCCAGCAATGCCAGTGAAAATAAAAATGTTTATTTTTTATCCAAAAGAGATTTCCTTGGCAGCTAGACCCCAAGTGAGAGAAAAATCTCAAAGTGTTTCAATCTGGAGAGAGAAACCATTTGGGTTGGATTCCGTTTCCCAAATGTCTCAAGAAGGGAACAGTGGAGACCGCAGGATATTTTAATTTACAATGATTTTCAAGACCTAGACAACCTTTCTGGTTTAAACTCACTGTGGTGTTATTTGGTGGACTCTCATGGGCATTAGGAAAAAATTTTCTTGAGTAGTTGGTTCTTGATTAACCATTGAATGTTACTGAACCATGATTGATACAGTTCCAAATTCAGTGTAATGTATTTTTAAGTTCCTTTCAAATTTAACATAATTTCATGCAAACATTTCTTAAAGTCATAGTGAAACCCAGTACTGAAACTTCATTATTTTTCAATTGTAGAAATAAATGGTCAACTTATCATTATGTTAATTCAAAATATTTACTTGAATTTTAATTAATGTTTGATGATTATGGAAAGAATACATCCCAAGTAAATCAAGGTCATTTTCTGTGTCTCAGCCAGAGTTGTAAAAGTTTCACTGTACTGTGCACATTTGGTGCACACATTTCAATAATCAGATGTTTCTTACAAGCAGGGGCATTTCTGGAACTGCATGTTTGTTAGTATTTTATTTATTTACTTATTTTACTTCCAGAGAGTTAAGATTTCAACATCTAAGACTATAATTGCAGAAACCTGTCTCTGTGGAAAAACGTGCACTTCCTGCAGCTGAATTATGGAACGAATGTTTATTGCTTTCATCCAGCATTACAAAAATACAAGTTAAACTTCCATCGGTGAAAACGAAGGGCATGTGATTATTTTCCAAGTATGATCATTTTATACTCATATGTCAAAATGTAATCAAAAGTTGTTTCTTTTCCCGTGAAGGGCTGGTATGCATCACGACAAAGGGAATTAATAAGGATGATCTATTGTATGGAAAAGAATGTGAGTAATTTAGTCAGTAGAAATATGTTTCGACAACATGCTCTTTAATATTTATAATTGCACAGTCCAATTCATCCTAGTTGTTGGCAAATATCAATTTGTTAGACATCCAAAAGATGTCCATACCATAGCCCATATGAAAGCTAACGTAAATTTTAGTAACTTGAGTAATAGAAAGACAGACACCATGGAGTATAATTTTACCTTCCTCAGTGCCCCTTCTATTGCGTATCAGTGCTATACACATATCTGATTTTTTTTCTATTTCTAAAAGCTCTCAGACCATATTTTTGTGTATCTAGCCCCATTTTCACCAGCAGAAAACCAATACAATGGGAGATTGGGAAAAAAGTATCACGTTTTTTGTATCCTTATTTATTTGTTAATTGCTGAAATGAATTCTGTAGACCAAGCTACTCATTAATTTCCAGTGACTTGAATCTCTTCGTTATAGTCACATAAGGCTAGTCTTGTTGGGTGTTGTTTCTAGCAGTGTGGGTAATTGGTAGTAATCAGAGGGTGTTACCCTATCGAAGATTCTATACAAAAAAAATTGTTTCCACAGCTAACTCCAACTCACATGTAGTTCAGTCTTTCAGAAAATCTTACAATTTTTTTTATCAGTATGATTCAAAAAAAAATTCAAAAAAATTTTGTATCAGTATGATTCAATAAAAAAAGAAACAATTCTTAAGTCACAGCTAAGAGTAAGGCACTGTGCTGGGTGCTCTAGAATACAGGTTTGGGGTGTGGCCTGTTCCTTCAAAGGGCCCATAATTTGATATGCAAACTATATTTATATGTATATATTAGTTCGAATCCAAGACAGAATAAAATCTTGTACTATAAATACAAACCATATAATTTGGACATCTTAAAGAAGAATGATTTTTTTCCTAATTGGAAAAATTCTTTGGAGAACATAGCATTCAGCATGTATTAAAGGACCAATATAATTTAAAACATTGTACAAGGACAGCTGAAAAACCATCATCATGACATTTAAAATGACATGCTTCCCTGGCCTTATTTATGTACATTAGAAGATTGACAAGGAGTTTGAGTGAAACTTGCCTGATGGTCACATGTAAGAATGTAACTGATAATGAAAAAACGTAAAAAAGTAGGTTGGAGCTATTAAGGGATAACCACAAAATCTCTTTTGCCATGTAGTCCGTAAACTCTTATGTATATAATCACTGCACCTTGCTCAACTGTCCCAGACTATGTGGAAATTACCAAGTCACTTTCAATGTCTATCCTCAGGTTAGCAACCAAGCTTCTTCAAATGCTATTCTACAGTGACTATCTTAAATTTTTTTTTTTGCAATCTCATTTAAAAACATGAGTCCTTATCTCATATTGCAGCATATGTAGAGAAAATAACAGGCTGAGTTTTTCTTGAACATTATTCAGTGCAAGTGGGATTATAGAAAGCAAGATAAAATAAGGTGTGTTTATCATGATAACTTTTGAAGCTGGACAATGGTATACGGGGATTCAGTATATGAGTCTTTCTATTTTTCCAGATGTTTGAAATTGGCTATGATAAAAATTTTTATCTTATCCTATGGCCAAGCTGAGAGCCTTAAACCAGTCCATGTGGATGCAGACTGTCTATGGCATGTGTTGTTCACATTTTTTCCCTTTGAGAATCTTTCTCTCAACCCCATGATGTCCTGTCCCTTGCTTTTTCACACTCTCTACCTTTGGGAGGACCAGGTTCACCTTCCATGGCCCAAATCAAGTGTGCCTTCCTTTGCGGGCCTTTCCATAGCCTCTCCATGGTGTGCATGTTTTGTTTGTGTATTCGAAAGTTTTAACCCATTGTATCCAACATTCAATCACTTGTAAACTTTTTACTGAGCACTAACTTTGTTCTTGGTCCCTGACTGCCTTCGAGTAGATTGTAGTTAATGGGTGGAGAAGGCAAGTTGGCAAACCTTTACAAAACAAAGTGTGATGAGAGCTATAATGGAAATCTCTGTAAGGTGCTTGGAGAGCATCATGGCTGTGAAGCGGAACTCGGATCTTACTCTTTGAAGATTTGTATTTTATTCAGTTGTTCAGAAATGGATTCATGTGTATAATGCTACATGTTAAAATGTTAGCTATTTCAAGGCAGGCCCTCTGGCTAATGACTGCTTCTACACTTTCTGCAGCACACGAGACAGATGGAAAAGCACGACCTGCTGGGAGGGGAATGGAAGCGCTACCATGAGAGCACCAGTTAATGCCATGTGACCAAAAGACAGCCCGTAGGTTGTCACCCACGTCCCTCTGGGGCCATTAAGAATTCCCTGCAGCTGGTGGCTGCCCTGCCTGTTTAAAGGCTCTGGTCTTCTTTCCACCGGAGAATCTCTCCTTCCTGTGAGCCCCCAGATCACAGTGGATAAAAGCATAGGCTTCTTCCATTGTTCTTGGTATCAGATTCCAGTTCTAGCTCTTACTAGTGGCCATGTTACCTTAGAAAAGGAGTCCTCCCTGAGTCTCATCTGTCGGGGGGGCGGATTCCTGAAAGTGAGCCAAGCACAGTGCACGGGATTATAGCAACTGCTTTGTACCCACTTACTTTATAACCAAATTCTACCTCATTTACTTTATTTATTGTATCTGAAGTATAGTTGTCCTGCAAGATAATAATTTTGCCTTATTTTAAAATTCTTACTCTTGAAAGTATATTAGAATCTTTAGTAGCCTGTCAGACTATTGAATGAAAAAAACCAAGATTTGGAAATCTTCATAACTCCTGGCACTGAAACAGTACTTATGAAAATATTTATCAGTTAAATTGGTTTCTTGGACACATTTCCTTGGCTTATATGCTAATGGTTATATGGTAGGGAAGTGTTCCAATAGCATGGTAAACGTGATTTGGGATGGTGAAGGGCCTAGGCAGGAAAAAGTTACTCTTTTTACAGTTTTTCTTCAACACCTCTAATTATGTCTTGAATACAATCTCAGTTTGACCTTGGAGTGCATCATCCTCTGACACATTGTAAATCTCCTTTTTAAACAAAGGTATAGCAGGCTCCATGCTCAAAGCTATTAGCAAGCAGGTATCCAGGTGGAATATGGAAGTATCTTATATTCATTGTATTTATTTTTATGGTTCCCTTCTATTTCTGGCAAGTTCTGCTTTCTATTCACTTAAAATTTCATTTTAAAATAAATGTAGGGAGACAGTAAATATGGCAGGTGAATTACTTAGGTTTAGGAAATATGTGGTATATAAACAGAATTTGGGATGAAAAAATAACTGAACAGGTAATATAGTTCAACCTGTTATTCATAGATGAGGAAGCCAGGTATAAGGATTAAATAACCTGCCCCAGTTACAAAACTCATACTGGTAGAGTTGGGACTAACATAAGAGTCTTAGTTGGTACCACTAGCTTGAGGGTCTGTCCACTGCCTGATGCCCCTTCGATCAAGAAAATCGGCTGTTATTAGTATTTGATGATTAACTGTTTTCTCTAAGCCCATCACTTCTTCCATCTTGAATAATGCCCATGTTTATGGATATTCATGTGACTCAGTAAAAACTGAAAGTACAAGGTGGTATGTAGTCAGGAGCCAAGAACTACAACTAAGAGAGACAAGAGAAAAAAGGAGAGACAGGAGAAGGTCACAAAAATGTATTTTATGACATCGTGCCATTTATTAGATACATAAAGCTAATAAATCTCCGTACGTGTGATGGGATTCTGCGGGATTCAGAAGGTCAACTCTTCAGTGATACTCTAGTGGACCAAACATTCTTTTCCAAAGGCACAAATCTGTCCTAGGATGTGAAAGGAGCTTCTAGCAAACACACACCTATAGTTTATGTGCGTAAGGAAGGAAAGTATTCTATCAACGTTGCCAAAAAAATTCATCCTTCAGCATAGAGAAACGTTGAAATTCATGAATATAAGATGTTTTGAGATGCATGAGAAACAGAGAAGAGTTTCCCTCTTGGTGGGGCATATAGAGGGTGGGCTTTGGGCAGCAAGCACACTTTATTGTTTAGCGTTCTCTACAGTTTGGTTTTTGAACCTACTGAGTAGATTACATACGTAGGAAAAAAAATTCCCCCAGAATGCCTATATTGTTTGGTATTTGGTGTCTAAAAGACTCTGGACCACTAAAAGAGTTTACTTCTTTACTTACTTATTTAAATAAACTTGGAGGGCACTCTTTTGTTATGATTTCACAGTTACTTTATAGAATACAATTACACATCTTTTAGTTAGCGGATGTCCTTCACAAAAGTTGCCATTATTTTGAAACTGAGATAATTTTAGGAGCATAATAAGAATGCATCCTATCTGAATTTCTCCATAACCATGTCATAAGATTTAAATTTTGAATAGCATAAGGCAGTTTCCAAATATTAGTAATTCAGTTCCACTGCACGTTTCTCCTACTTGCAAAGAGCTTCAATTTTGTGTATAACCATTGTGTGTACATTTCAAATATGAAAGCTGGAATCATTGACAGACTGCAAAATACAAAAGAAAAGAAAAGAAACCCGCTACACATGGACTTCTGATTTCTCACATTATCACTATGGTAACCACTAGACATTACTTGTCATGAAAAATGATTAATTATCATTTCCAAGTTTAAAATGATTTATAGACACCTACCTTGTAAATCTAATGCTACCACAGCAGTGTCATCTTCTAATCCTTCAATCACCTCACACTTATATTTCCCATAATCCTCCAGGGTGAGGTCTGCGATCACCAGAGAAGCATCGTTATCACTGCCTCCCTTCAGAAACACTCTACCCTGGTAGCCTCCATAGGTTTTCTTGTGATATCCCATGGAAACGAAAACGTCCACTTCCTTGAGGTAATCTGAAGTTAGCTTGGTCCACTTAATTCGGATCTTGTGGGTTCCTGAGCCAAATGCTGTAGGGTCTCGATAAAATTTACATGGCAGTGTAACATTGCCACCTCTGTATGAGAACACCCTGGCTTGTTCTGCTTCCACGAGTAGACGGGGGCCATTTTCTGCTATAATTAAAAAACAAAACAAAACAAAACAAAACATTAGTATGCTCTTAGGCTTTTTTTTTTAAATAAAATGAAATATGCTACCCATACAGGGTATCTGACAAAGAGTAGCATTGGGTGATAAGCTTCTCTGCATTCTTGAACAGTAATATTTTTTGAACCACATAGAAAGGTACCTCTAATACCTAGAGGGCACCTACAAGGTAGTCATGTCTTTTAAACCACTGATAAAAAGAAGGATGTTAATTACAATAATTGAAAATTACTGAATATAAAACTCCACAGTCATCAAAGTTTGATAACTTAACAACAAATTCTATTTTTTCCTACATTTAAATATCAAAAATGCCGAATCAAGACCAAGTGAAATGACATAGTTTATGATGAATTTCATCAATACAAACCAAAAAATTTCAAGGGAGGCAAATTTCTCTTCTCACCTGAGCTTTCTAATACAATAAATCTGTATTTTATTTACAGCAAAATTATAAAGCAACATGATCAATTTTCATCCTATTCTGGCCAAAGAACTTAGAGTATCCTCACATTTGTGGTTTCTATTAAAATATACACTTGTGATATGCCATTTTGGAGCAATTCAAGCAGTATGTATGTATTTTATTTTCACACAAAGTAGACATCAGAAAGGTATTTTTAGCCAATGCTTAAAAAAAAAAAAACAAAAAACTCCAGGTTTTGAAATATATTCCTCAAAACTTAATTGCTAAAAGTATATCCAAAGTTATATTTATTTCCTGATTAACCACATAATTATTTGTTTCTTTGTTCCCTTAAGTCTCTTTCTACCCCTTGTCTTTGCTTTCAGCTACATCTTGTTTTATAGTCTATCTTCTCGCTCCCACCTTTTTCTTCCTTGCCCTTTGGTTTCCCTCCTCCCTCCTCCAAGAATGAGCTAGCTTTCCAGAGAGCACTGCAATAGTCCAATCCTGCCAGGTCAGTGGGGCTGCCGTTCTCCAGGGAGCCAGCTGTGCTTGTCACATCTTGTCTATCTCTGGGGTTTCCCCCGGTTAGCTTATTGTGCTTTTGACCTTGACAAGGTCTCCTGGGGATGTGCAAGATTTGAAAATGAGAAAGCAATATAAAAACTCCTGGACACAGACAAACCTTCGCATCTACACACAGCTTTCGAAGCTTGCCAAAAGCTGCCTTTCATGAAGCCCTGCCGCCCTTCCTGACTGGGGCAGGTAGGGACTGAGTGAATCTTGGCCGTGAATCATTTAGGATACACAGCTCAGGAAGAGTACCCACTCACCGCCGGACAGAGCCCATAACTTAACTTAGTTAACGGCGTACACAGGATTCAGATTTTAAAATAAGTGTCCAAAAATAGACGCAGTGGTTATATTTTTAACACACAGCGATCAGAATGAGTATTTTAAAATGGCCATATTTCATTTATAAGTCAGCCCCAATCCTCAGAAACTGAAAAGTTTAACAAAGCCATTAATGCCCCCTCTTAAAATAGATAATAAAATAAGAGGATAATGGCTTAATTAAAATGAATCATAAATCCAGCTCATTAAGCATCTCCTTTATATTTTATTCTTTATCTTTTTATTTAGGATCATAGAATCATAAGGGATGAAAGGTAAATCTCTCCAACTCTACCCTACCTATTACCTTCCCCCTTCAATATCCCTAAGGACTGCATCCACGTGTCCTCTTTCCAGGAGGAGGAAAGTGCTGTAGACTGCTCAGTAATGCCTGAAGGTTGTAGGGAACAGCTCCTACCTGGTACCTGGAAGGACACTTCCAAGGCTTGAGCTGAGACCTGACACAGAGCTTCAGGAGGTTGTAGTTTCATGATGCTCACAAGATTTTTACTTTAAAGTCAAAACTAATATCCAAATCCACAGAGATAAGGGGTATTATAGTAGTTAGGAACAAGGGTTGCAATGTGATACCTTGTTATAACCTCACCTCCTCAATTTACTAGCCCTGTAGCCTTGAGCAAGTTGTGCAACCTCTAAGCTCCAATTTCTTTATATGTGAATTAGGGGTAGTAGCATCTATCATATATAGCTGACCTCATAGACACAGAGCACTTAGAATCATGTCTGATGAAAAGCTAAGTGTGCACTCACGGCTAACTTCCTACTGCATAGGTCTTCCAGTTTTTCTCAAATATGATACTGCCTGATAACGAGGATAATTTTGGCATACGTTAACCTTCCACTTTCTTATAAAGCTTTGAATCCTGTGGGGTGAAAAATACATAAAATGCCACCTGTGTTATAAAGGAGATGTAGAAATTATTCTGTGGTTTCACATAATCATAAGGTGTTCCAGAATGAATACAAGGTCTGAGTGTTTCATAAATTAAAGAGTTAAAGCAAAGATCAAAGGTCTTGTGCAAGGGAATGGGACTTCTAATTTTTTTTCTGTGGTTTACTGTACCTCATCTTGTAGTATTTTAGTAGTGTAGGCTTCTGATTTTTTTAGGTGATTTTTTTTTATGAGTAGATGATGACTTAATGTGGTATAATATTGAGAATAGAGCAGATACCAAAAATCCACTGATTTCCCACAAAATAATTTTTCTAACAAGCCTGCCAGAATGTATAAAATTCTACCATTCTTATTTTTTTGGGGGGGCAGTGATGGGGGGGGCTGTGGCGTGGAAGTAATCAATGCCATAAGTTGCATGGCTGAAAGCCTAAGAAAGATGTGTAATGTGTAACACATCGAGTGACTGAGCCCCATCAGTGTTCATGAATCTAAACCACCAGCATGGCATTGAGAACAATGTTTTTTGTTGGTTTGCTTGTATTTAGAAGATTGACACCGCAGATCATACAGCACTGAGCATTTTGTCAAGAGTGGCCTGAACAAAGAAGACATAGGAGGGAGCACTGGTCAGTGAGTCAGGATCTTTGGGTGTTTCACTGACTGGTCTGCCTCATGGAAACATTGACTTTGGGATTTTTGTCAGGCTCCTCATGGTGGGTAGTCAGGGGGATGAGCCAGTAAACACATCAGCTGGAGAGGGGAGAGGGCAGGGACAAAGAGCAGAAAAGGGAACTGAGCATGAGTGCCAATGACCAACTTTGCACCCAGCTTGCCTAGAGTAAGTCTCGAATCTCATCTTTGGATGCAAAAACTTAAGCAGTTTGAAAGTAATGTTTAAACCACCTGTTTGATCAATAGGCAGTTGCAAAGCAAATAAAATGGAAAAGATAAAAATACAACTCAATCATCAGAATGAGCACTGCTTGTTTTCCTTTTTTTTATAAAAAATATAAAAGAAAAAACTAGGCAGCATACATATGCTCATTTTGGAAGGACTGGATTTTTTATTTATTTTTTACTGTTTTTTAAAATTATGTTATGTTAATTACCATACATTACATCATTAGTTTTTGATGTAGTGTTCCATGATTCATTGTTTGAGTATAACACCCAGTGCTCCATTCAGTACGTGCCCTCTTTAATACCCATCACCAGGCTAACCCAGCTCCCCACGCCCCTCCCCTCTAGAACTCTCAGTTTGTTTCTCAGAGGCCATAGTCTCTCATGGTTTGTCTCCCCTTCCGATTTCCCCCCCTTCAGTTTTCCCTTCCTGCTATCTTCTTTTTTTTTTTCTAAAGGACTGGATTTTTTCAAAGTTTAATTTGTAAGTCACAGAAATTTCCTATTTCTATTAGTGACTGTCAATGACTGTGACTTGAAAGATTTGATGCCCTTCAAAGACCATAGTTGTCTCCAGGGGAAACAGCAGGGCCTCATTATTATTTTACAAATTCTGCTGTGAAATCCAGAGGACATCACTCAATTTCACCAAATTATGAAAGCAACTGCATGACCAAACAACTCATCTTTGTATTGCTGTGTCATTTAGATGAACTCTTTCAGACAATAGGACACAAGTAATTAGCTGCAGAAAAACAATGTAGAAATATGGTATTGGACTACTATCTATTGTTCTTAATTCTTTTAAAAGTATAATCATTTTTTATGGCAGTTCATTGCCAAAGAAATACACGTGACAGAAAAAAGAGAAGGTGTTATGAAGTTTGTCTTTTTACAGTGAATTGTGGATTGTGCAAAATAACCAGTCTTGGTGTTGGTTACTTTCTCATTGGGGTATGGATGAATTAGGGTCAAGATTTTTGAATTTCCTAGACTAATAAAATGTAAAATGCAAAAAAAAAAAAAAAGAAAAGTGGGCAATAGATTTAAGATGGCTAAACAAGGACATTAAAAATACTCCTCTCCTGGGGCGCCTGGGTGGCTCAGTCGGTTAAGCGTCTGCCTTCAGCTCGGGTCATGATCCCAGGGTCCTGGGATTGAGCCCCACATTGGGCTCCCCGCTTAGCAGGAAGCCTGCTTCTCTCTCTCTCACTCGCCCTGCTTGTGTTCCCTCTCTCGCTGTGTCTCTCTCTGTCAAATAAATAAATAAAATCTTTAAAAAAAAATACTCCTCTCCTAAGAAAAAAACTCTGCCAACATCATTTGAATTCTTTTTATTGAGGTAAAAATGTACATAACATGAAATTTGCCATTTTAACCATTTTTAAGTGTAGAATTCAGCGGCATTAATTACTTTCACAGTGTTGAGAAACTACCAAAATTTTTTCATCGCTCTGAAGAAAAAGCTAATTCCTTCCTGACATTCCAAACTGGTAGGCAGAGACTCAATCATCAGCTCCATGATGAGTCATTTGAGAAAACTGTACCAGGTTTAAAAAATGGTTCCTTAGTTTTGTGGTATTTGTTGCCACTTGGCAGGTTTGGATGTGTAAGACTCACACTGTGGAAGGTGCTAGTTTCCTGTGGGTAGACAGACTGGTGCTAGGGAGTTTTCATGGAGCCTTGCTTGCCAGCAGGCATTTTTGCTGGAAATCTTTAGCTGCATAAATAATTGGCCATAAGGGAATTTTGCAATGAAAGATAAGACAAAACACAACAAAACAACTGGTTGCCCATTTGGTTTGATAGTTTGTTGGTTTTGTCAGTTGGTGGACAGTTTGGTTTCATTT